TAAATAGTTGAGCAATAAATAGTTTACTTTTTAAATCAAATTTGAGTGCTGCTAAGCGACAAATTAGCTTATTGGCGCCTCAAAGGGAAATTCAATCAAAGCGCAACGGCAATTCGCCAGCGACTTCAAGAGTGACAAACACTCGCCGCTAAATTTGCCTCAACGTGGCATTAATATGACAGTCAACGTGCTGTTTGCTCCTGTTGTTGCTGTTGATGTTGTTGCTGTTGCTAGTGAAGAATCAACGCTAAGAGAAGCAAGCACTGGCTGAAGCATCTGAACTAGCTGAACGAATCATTTGGCGTCGGCGTCGTTCATATTTTTGCAATTTTACCCACCGTCACTTACGACTTGCATCATTCTTTTTCATTTCGAGCGAGCACATGAAGTGACGACTGACTGACGGACAGACAGACAGACAGACCTGAATGAATGAATGTGTGAATGGACTGGATGGCTTTTGCCAAGGCTGCTTGAATTGTTGCTCGCCGACTAGCTGACTTCCTGCTGATGCAACCCGCTCGCTCGCTCGCTCTGCCTGGATTGACGACTGGCTGTTACCCTCCTCCTCTCTCCTCTCATAGTTTTGCCTTCCCTCAGCTCTGGCGGCTGCTAGTATAAGCGGATTTGTATGCCCAACACTGTGATGCATTCGGCATTAAAAGTTTATATTATTTATTGAGAGTTTGTTTTCCTATTTTTTACGGTTTGCCTGTAGATAAGCTTTTTTTGATATTTGCGAAAAAGAATTGCCGAAATATTCGATTTGTAGTCGAAATTATCTTTGCTGAGGTTCACTTTTTAAAAAGGAACATTAAAGTTGATTAACAGCATAAAATAATTGGCAAAATTAAAGAGAATTTTAAGTAGATGGATAGAATATTGTGGGAGATTTGATTTAAACATTTGTGAAAGAGTAAAAAGAGACAACAAATTGGAAATTTTATTTAAGCATTTGTAAAAGAAGCAGATATGTTGTTTATATTGTATATGTGGGACCCCTAGAGACGAATACTTTTGTGACTGACTGCATGTATTGCGATTTCATAGCGACAGCAATAGCTTAAAGACACAAAGCCGAAGGCCTAAAATTAGGTGTGACCAGGCTTCACATATTTTACAGTGTTGCCAGAAAGTTGTACTTCGCAATAAATATAATAATTTCTTGCACTTGTTGAGGCAAGTAACGTATTTTGTTGCCAAATGAAAATGTTGTAGAAAGTGCAGCAAAGCCTAATGAACAGATCTGATAAAGAAAACTCGCTTCAATTGTTGCAATTCTCACGCATTAGTTAGCCCCATGCCCAATGCCTGATTAGAGGCAGCAAATGCAAGACAATCGAATGCTCAGTCAGGCCTCAGTAGGGCTGCTGGCTGCTGGTTGCTTGTGGTGCGAACACAATTTGGCATATTGACAGACACGAATCGTCTAAACAAATGAGCAAATGTCCTGTGGCCAAGTCGATTCGCTTTGGCTAGTCAACTGCTGGAGATTGATGGCAGCTGCGTCGCTTGCGATCTGCCAATTTGACAGTTTGGTCAACAAGCATCCGTAATCATGCTCTATATATATTCAGTATTTTTTAATAAAGCGCACTAGAAATGGCAAAAGAAAGTGCAAAGGAGCTGCCTGCCTGGGTAGCGACCACCTGCAGTGCGTTCGCATTTGCCATGGCTTGATATATATATATATATATATATGTTTTTGGCATCCTGTGCTCGCAACACATTGTTCTGTTGTTGTTGTGTTTGTCAAGCAGGATATTACACCTCGGTTTAATTTTTTTTTTTGTCGCTGTCTCTCACTTTCACATGCTGTGACATATTTCTATAGCAAGTTTTTTGAGTAGCGGGAATGGGTGGGGCAGGAGGAGGAGGAGGAGGAAGGCCAGGCAGACTTGAGTGAAAAGTCCGCCAGGCAGTCAGCCAGCCAGACATTTTACTACACTTCTTTTTTTTTTTTTTTTATTTTACTGTTGCGTTGGCTGCGCTGTTTTTAATCTTATAAACAATGTCAGCATGAGCTCTGCTTTTCGCGCGGCTCCGGTTGGCGTTTGCTGCCACCGAATGTTGCATATACCGCCCGCCCGGCGGGGCATACAACGCAAGCGCGGCCCAAAGCGTTTTATGGCTTTAATATGTTAAATCGCATTTGCTTATAATTTTTTCTTCTCTCTCTCTCTCTCTCTCTCACACACACACTTTTCGTTTCGTTGTTGACAAAATGCTTCTTAAATGCCAAAAATGATTGCATAAATTCTCTCACCCGTTATTTATGCTAGTTGAAAAATTTTAATAAATGGAGAATGCTAAGCTAGGGTTGAGCCTTCTGAATATATGTATAAATTTGTATTTCATTAACGCAAGAGAAAGGAAATGGAACATCATAGAAGGGTGGATAATATTGAATAAAAACTAATGTTAAAATAAATAAAACTCAAAATTAAAAATATAATTTAATAAAACAAAGCAAAATAAAATTATGTATATAAAATAATTTAATTTAAATAAATATAACAAAAAATTATTACAGCTAAAAAAAATACAAAAAATTAAAATTAAAAATAAATGTTATAATAATAATATGGAAATAATAAATAATATAAATATTAAATAATATTAGTATTGTTTATACAGCTCGAATATAAAATGATAAATAAGAAAATTTGTCTTTATTACTAAAAGTAAACCGTAAAAAAAACATTGTTATAAAAATTTTGCAATGAAATTTATAAAATGTTTTCGGATATCTTTTCATCGATAAAAAAAAGTTGAAAGGAAAACGAAATTGTAACAATACTAAGTAGTGCTGAAAAATACTAAACAGCATTGAAAATACTAAACATTATTTTTCCATTTAAAATGCTGCTCCTCTACATTCATGTATACATACATACATATGTATATTACAGAACTCATACATTCACATGCTAAGCTGCTAAACACAGCACAGCTGGAGGATTAGCTTAGCTATTCATAATCTCAAAAGGCAAACATTTTTACCAAGCATAAAAGAAAATGTTGGCCGCTTCAGAGAGCTATGGAAAATGAGTTTGGTTACTGATATTAATATATACAAATTTAATAGACCACCTTGGGCTAGCTGGCCCGGCGAGTCTTAACGAAACGCAGCGCGCTTTAAAAGGGCTGACATTAACATTAATGAAGCAGTGCTGAACAATGCGACAAAAGCAAAAATGCTTATTGAAAATGGAAAAGCTTATAACAGAGCTTGGTTTTCCTTTTTGCAAATTATATGTATGTATACTGAAAATTCAAGTCTTTTTATAAATGACTTGCTAGAAGACAACCTAAAAAAGAGCAGCCCGATATGTGGAGTATTTATTAACACTGTTGATTGCCACTGGCAACATCTGCTCCCGTTTATCAACACTCTTACTCTTTCTATGCGCCTTTGGCAAAGGTAATTAATACTTCACTGGTACCAATTGGCTTCACTTCTTCCCTCTCTCTCACTCATCATATTATACATAATTTCTTTCTTCTTTTTTTTCCCTCCTGTTCTCCTGTTGGTATTGCTTTACCTGCGGCTATGTGTATGTACATATATTCAACTCAACGCGAAATTAGCTGGTTCTTTGGCAGAATACAAATGCGGTTAATGCCGTGCGCTGAATTCCTCTAAATGTCGGGTCTGATAAAAGCACACAAAAGATAATGCCGCCGGCAGTGTGTGTATGTGTGCAAAAATTGTTGAACAAAATCAGCAATGCCACTGACTGTCTATGGGAGATGATATCATGCATAATTTGGTCTTGATTTGTAGAAGAAAAAATGAATTAGCTCTTTTTTATACTCTTAAAAAATCCTACTGATGGGACACAGCGCGAAAAATGTCTGGTGTGAATATAAATTTTTTTTAAATATTTTATTGTTTTACAAATATTATATTTTTTACAATTATTATTGGTTGTTAATAAGTTTTGCATTTTAATTTTGAACTTAAATAAAATATATTTAAATATTGTTTAAATAGCTAAAAATAAAAAATACTTAATTTAATTGAAAATATAAAAATATTTAAAATAAAAAATAATATATAAAAAAAAAAATTATAAATATATTTTTATATAATGTAAATACTTTCGGAACTTTTATTATAAATTATTATTGATCATTTTTTAATTCGTTTAATTTTTTATAATTTGTATTATAAATTTCAATTTAATTTTATTTATGATTTATTAATTTTATAAATTTCCGTATGCTTTCAATTCATTCAAAGTTCTAGAAGAATTTTGACATATGGTAGGCCTACAATTGAATGTCATGAAACCGCTGTCAAAAAAATGAAAATTGACTTTGGGGAGAATTTTTAAAAGTAATTTCGTTTGTTTGCCAAAATCCAGCACATACTTCCCCTGCTAGTGTATGAACTCTGCAGCTATTCAATAATTCCTTTTTGTGTATGGTTAAATGCTTCCACTTTCATTTTTTTTTTTTAGTTATGCCCTACGTGAGGTTAATCGCAAATGAGCAACGCAATTTCTGTACACATAATGAGGCCAATTAGGCCTGCGGCAAAAACTAAATGCCGTGTGCAGCTTGTTTAATGGGCCGTTTAACTAGGACTACGCTCCCTTCTTTCCTTTCTCTTTTTCGTTCTCTCTCTCTCACACACACTTATTTAATCAGCTTATAGTTTTCTTTTGGGCTAGCAGCACAATTAAATCTGCTAACTAAATCAGCTTTTAAATCATGCAGACTCGCCGACGACATTGTGAGACACCATTCGATGGTTTAAGTGCCTGCAATAAGCAATTGCATTGGAAAAAGTTTTTTTTTTTTTGCCAGAAAGTACCCCAAAAAAAGTCACATAAAACTTGAATAGTTATTGCATAAAGTTTCTTGAAGTGCGATAAAGATTTCAGTTGGCAAAATGAGAATTTGTTTTAAGGTTATGAGAAATTCTAGAAAGTTTCGTATGGGATTTGTTAAATATGTTATAGAAATATCAATATAAAATAAAGAAATTTCACTTAGCTTTTGTTATGCATCGCTTGTTTTTCCTTCTTTTTTTTTTTTTTGCAGCACTTCACAATTCACAAGAAAAAAAATTCACTTTTTACTTTTTCACAATAAAAAAAAATTAAATAAAATTTTATAATTTTTTAGAGAACTTTTCACTAGATGTTTACTGAACGACTCACTGCACGAGAATGAGAATTCATTTTTAGTTTTGTCACTTCCTTAACATTGTTGTATCATTTCGGAACACTAATTGTAGATCAAGTTGGCATTGCTATTCATTAGTGTTAATACAGGAACTACGAAAATAAATGTTGTAAAAAGCCCTTGGACAAAGTCGATCAAATACTCAAGGGCTACTCTGAAACACACACTCGCACACGGACACACTGACACACACTCACACACACACATTGCTTGAATATTTGCACAGAATGCATCAAGGGCCTTTACATGAGAGCATGTGAAATATTTATGGTGGGGCACATTGTAGACATCAGATGATTAGTTGCATATTCCATGTGCTGTCAGAGCTCCCTGAGCTGTCGATGATTTTGACCGTGCAAATATTTAATCTTGGTACATTTCGGACCGAGCCACCGTTCGAATCGAACGTGCTGGACGTCTCGGAAATCTCAGTTGTATTCTTAGAGAAGAGCAGCTGAAGGATGCAGTGGCCGAGAGACAGACGAAGGCAAAGGCTGCCAACGGCCATGGCAAAGGCAGCTCAGCTCAGCTCGTATTAGCCCAAGTCAAACAATGGCATTGGCAAGCCCCAGCCCAATTGCAATGTGCAGAGTCCAGAGCGAAAAGATGGAGAGTACGAACGCAAAGTGCAACAGCAACAACAACTATATGGGGAAAAAGGAAAAGTGTTGTTAAGAAAATGCACAAGACAGAAAATCGATCTGTGTGTTGTGTTTTTGCGGTTGACTGTGCAAAGTTTTGCCTTAAGTGCGGCCGGGATAGGTTAGAGGGTAGCGGCTAGTGGGTAGCGGGTGCTACTAAATCCTTGGTGTGGCAGATTAACACGTCCTGGTCAAGCTATAAACGTACAGCTGCCAGCAACAGAAGGTCAAATTCGAGTTGTAAATAAATAAAATAGAGCAAATATATAAAAGAGAAATTTCTTGCCATTCTCTTTTTTTTTTAATGCTATAAATACTGGATAAATAAACTTTAAATAAGTTTAACAAATATTGCAACAGAAATTTAGGAAAAGTCAAGCTAAGAAGGGAACGGATTGTATATTGGTTTTTGTGTAGCATCCGTATTTCCTAAGGGTTAGAGAATAGGAAACTTAATGGAATTTTAGCAATGTCAATTTCAGGTCGACTAATGATCTACTGCTTTAATATAGCTAAATTTTACTGGCCGATTATGGCTGACCTACTTTTCAGTATTATATAATCCGTTTCTACAACTGCATAAATCTAGCTATTTTTTAATCACATCCTGCAGTCGCCTGCGCCCGATTGCAATATGCTAACTCGCTTTTAATTAAGTTTGTTTGGTGCCGCTGCCGTGGCAGCAGCTTGTTGCCAAACTATTGGCTTTTTATGGCTTTGCTTAAAGAGCTGAAGCAGCTTTTGTACATGTTGTAAATGCAGTGCGGTGCATTGTTTCGTTGTTTTACTTTTTTTATGAGACTGCAAATCTAACTGAAATTATTATTTTTTAACAACTTTATTAATTTATAAATTATAGCATATATTTATAGTAAGAGATTATAAAAATATTGGGAAAATTATTATGTTATTCTATGGCTCAGAAAAAAAAAAAAATAATAATTTGAGTTGCTTTAAAAATTTACGTTTATGCTACACCACTATCTATTTGTGTCTTTCTCTCTCGCTCTTTTTCTCTACCTCTCAAACTCCCGCCGATATTTTTTGCCTAAAATTTGATGAAACTCAGACAGACAGACAGATAAGAAATTGTGTTGTTGCTTCCCTATGTGCTCGAGTTTTTCTCCAACAAATGCAGCTATGAATCCATCGCAAATGGGAATACGGCTGATGCTAGGTGCTTGGATGAAAGTGTATGTAACATCCAGTAGAAGCCGTAGCAAACCCAATAACGTATCTATATTTTGGGAATCAAGACGAGGAACTGAGCTTCTTTTAGCCATGTTTCTCTAATCGCCTGTGCACTTTAACTCGTGGTATAGACTTTAAATTTAAAATACATTTTATCGTATACCATTTTCTATTTGATGATAAGAATCCATTAATATTCAATAATAAATATTATTTAATTTTTTTTTTACATATTAAATTTTATTTAAATTTTTCAAGTCAATAACTTAAATTCCACAAAAGGCTAGAGACATACATAAATTGTTGTGCTTGGGCTACTGTAAAATTCGAATATTCGAATACGATTTGTAGTAGCAAATAAAAATGATATGATTATGACGCTTTGTAAATGATAATAAGCAATGGAATAAATAATCAACAATTAGTTTCATATATTAAGCAACAGCAAATTGCGCAGGAAGCAGAGCGCGTGGTTACGTCTGTGTGGGTGTATAAGCATAGGTGAGAGGGCTGCACAGCTGCACCCACAACACACATACGTCAACTACAACTCATTCGAACAGACTTCAGTTGACTGAGTGAGAGACACACAATAAATTGAGTCTATTTTCGGCCTTCATAAATGAGTGAATGAAAAGTTGAATTTCTCTGCAGGAAAATAGGACCGACGTGTATCTCCCGCCTAGGCTCCTCAATTGAACATTCCCAACAAAAACCCTCTTGAATTAAACTATAGAGAAGAAAAACAAATACATATATTTATTTTATTATTTTTTTTTTTTAATTTGCTCATTTATTTTTATAAAATCAATCATAACAATTCATTAATCAGTTTCGGGCGTTCATTCATTGAAAATTCGCTATTAAATTAATTAGTTTATATGATTTTGGTTTTTGGGTTTTCAATTTGGTTTACAATTTTTACATATTAAACAATTCCATAATTTGTATCGCTTTATCTGCGCAATTATTAAATACTTAAAAAATAAAATGCGTCTAAATTGAAATACGTACAGCAAATGTAAGTAGATGGCATGCTGATGTACATATTTTGATGAATTATTTTATTATTATAATTATTATTGATGATTATAAGAACTAATCAATTAGGTTGTGTGATTTTTTGTTGTTGTTGATCAATATTTAAAAAATATATATTTATTCTTGTTCATATACAATATTTTGCGTGTTATAATTATTGTAGTTTTTCTTTTTTTCTCAGTGTTTTTTTTTTTTCTGGTTGTTCATAAAGGACGATAAACCATCATAGACGTTATCAAAAAGGCAAACCATTAATTTTTATAGGTAAGTACATATACAATGCTTTTTACAAGTTTTACAAATGTTTTTTTTTTTTTTCTTTTTTTGCGTTTTTCCTAAATTTTACATATTGGGGTTTTTTTTCGTTTTGAATATTCTATGTCTAGTGTTGTTTTTATTTAAATATAATTTTTTTTCTTTGGTTGTTGCTAAAAATTATACAAAAAAATGTTCATAAATGTTTATCATTAAAATTCCATCAAGAAGACATTTTGCATATATGGACTACAGTTTGTATGCTATGAGAAGGAGGCAGGATTACCCTGGCCACTGCCCAAGTTACGCTGTGGCGATAGTTGTTGTTGTTGTTGTAGCTGTTGCTGTTGTTGTGTGGGTGACAGTGTTCTACTATTTAGATTATTCGTATTATTATTTTGGCTAAATTGAGACTTAGTATTATTGTTAGTGGTCGTTATTGTGGCAACTCGTCTTAGACGATTATCTGGTATCGGTGGTGATTGTAACGTGCCCGAACCCTCTCGCGGCGAGAACGATGATGGTCCACTGCCGCTGCCACCGAATGCACCAGCAATGCTGCTGCTGCCACCACCACCACCACCGCCGCCGCCGCCAGCACCACCGATGCTACCAAAGATGCTGCCACTGCTGCTCCCAATGAGACTCAGCGAGTGCTCATTCGACAATATTTGATGGGCAGCCAAATTCATTTCCTCGGGCGTCATATCCAGCGCCTCACGCATCTCTCGTGCAGCTGTGCCCACAAATTCTGAATCACAATATTTACCCAGACCCTCAGCGGCGAGTACCTAAACATATCATATATTTAGTATATAGAAATTTTGATATATATTTCTGCATGGCACTCACCCCTCCAATCAATGATTCGGCTAGGCCGTTCATATCAGATGAAGTTGGTAAACGACGCTGATCGTAGGGACTAGCTGGTGTCGATTGGATCATGCGTTCGTGGCCAGGAATAGCACCATTGGCCGCGTAGACTACATAAAACAATTGCATAAAATATAAATATATAAAAAAACAGACATTAGATCGAGTTGCTGAAAAGAATATACGCTTTTGCGTGGGGATTATTAGTATAGTATTTTTTATGGGTCTTTGTACAGCGCTTGATGATCGTTTCGACTAAACTAACTGAACTTTGAATACTAAGCTTCCTCATGTTATTAAAATACCTAAAAACTTTTATAGCTAAGTAGTGCAGGAATGTACTCATTACTCAATACTATTTGAGTATTCCTAATTTTATTTTTATTTGATTTAATTTCTTTAAAAACTTTAACTTAAGGAAAGTTTTTTTATTATTTTGTTTTAAAAATGTTGTCTTAAAATTTTTGTTATAAATCTATAGGTGCTAATAGACTGAACTAACTGCAGAAATATTACTATATCACAAATCCTTTATACAGATTCATCATTTTTTGGAATCATCATTAAATAACAGTATATTTGTCATTCGCTATAAATTTACTATTATAAATCAAGAAGCTTCCTAGAATTTGCCTCTACTTCACTTATTTAAAAAACACCAGCTTAACATCCCAACAATTCTATATACATTTCTCATATTATATTACTGCAGCCCCACTCCAGTCGAATCTGATCATCAAGCCTATATACTATACAAAGGGTATCTTAAATTACATCTGACTGTTAGTTCAAGCATTCAATAATACAAGCTATTAATATGTTAGATGTTAGATTGTACAGCTTTATGTAAATGACATATATAAAAGCCTGTTCTATGGAAAACAAAAGTTGATTAGATATCTATATATATATTTATGTTTATGTTTATGTATACGATGTAAAGCAAGCAACGAATTCTCTATATATATATATATTGAGGCATATACAATATTTACGCTATCTGTTAACACTTTGGGCTCTACAAAGACGGTACACTAAGGCGTTATCTAAGGCATCGACATGGGCATGAAGCAGGCGGCTCAGCTTAAGCTCAATCAAAAACCAAGCAGAGTATGTGTTAATGTGTGTGTGTCATTGTATGTGAGTATGCACAGTTGTAGTTGGGTTCTCTGTGTTTTGCCGTAATGGAACAACCCGACATTTAACATAATAAGCGACGTTTAGACAACATTGAGACAACAGTTAACAAACATTTTTGCTGGGGTTTTTTAAAGATTTAGCATATCAAAAAAATAATTAAGTATATATGTATGTATATATATATGTATATATATCGTTGACATGGGTATAATTGTAAGATTATAAAATATATTTGATGGACGCAAGGCACACATTTTGATAGGTACGCTCAATCGGCCAGGCCAGCTTATAAATGAGTACATATGGGCACAACAACACTGTTATATGAGTACATATACATATATAAATATATTTATATGTATATATTTATTTGATATATAGACACCAATATCATTTCGATTAAGTTTTTGTGTGGATATACTTTGATTATGGTAACCTTTTAGTTAGTTTCATTTTCATTCATACGATTCGTTCATTGTTGCGTGTTTAAACGATTGTTGTTCAGTTGTTGTTGTTGTTGTTCTTGTTGTTGGCTGTTGTTGTTGTTGGCTGTTGGTGTTATGTTTAGATTCCACGCAGGTCTAAGCACTTACGTAACGCTCACATTTTTTTTTCTTTATATATACACATACACACTCAGGGAATGCTTTTTGTTGTATAAAAACAAAAACAAAAAAAAAAAGAGGGAAAAACGTTCGCAGAAAATAGCAATACAAATAAAAACGAGATATTTTCAGCCCGTTCGGAATTAGAGCTACAATAGGTGCTTCTGAGACTCATCCAGTGTTCGACTCTCAGCACTCGGTGGTTTTTAAACTCGAATCACTTATGCTATAATAAAGATGGTTTATAAAAAAGAGTTATACAAAAACAAATTACTTTTACAACACAATTATTGGCATAGAAATTGAGTAGAAAATTTGGAAAGCTTTCATGATTTTCTCATTAACTAATTATGTTAATTATAGTACTTTAGTGATTGTCAATTAATATGGCATTCAAAGAATTATCAATGTCAATTCGATCAATTCTCAATTTGTTAGTTTGTAATCAACAAAAGGAGCCATGTGCATTGTTGGTTAA